TCTCTCACACACACGCTCTCTCTCTCTCTCTCTCTCTCACACACACACACACACACACACACACAGCAGCAGATCAGCGCAGTATAGATAAATGCTGCGCATCGGACAGAATCAAGTCAATCTAACGCGTTATAGCGTGATCACTTCGGCGCATGTTGTGTTATGTTGCTGTGATATGATGCATGTGGCACGTGATCGTGTTATAACGTTACAGTCATGCAGCACTGCAGTCACACACACTAACACACCAAACACACGCTTGAAAACAGAGATACAACAACACGCAGCTCAGCGCTGCTGCAGCACGCCTTCACTCTGTAGTACTACTACCAGCCAAAATATGAGTGAACATGTCAGGATAACGCTGTGAGATGTGATATGAATTTTACCGGGTTTCCAGAATTTCATGGTGGAGTGGGGCGCCGCCATGATGCACTACGTTGTCGACCGTCGTGACGCGTAAACGTCATACAGTTGCGTCTGTCGCATAGTTACACGCGTCCTGTCCATAGACTGTATCATCTGGTCACGGTAAACATCCTCCACATCTCATTTAACTTCCTACCGTACTGGAGAGAAATGAAGTAGCACGTTGATCTGCCAGCCGTGGGTCTTTATGCAGAGGACTCTGATGCAACTAATGATGCATTTAAAAGTTAATGGCCAAACGGATGTTTATAAAAGTTCACATTGTTGTTGTAGATGAAATATCCGAACACAGATAACATTAAATAAAAAATGTTAACAGGTTAAATGTTGATTATTAGTAACTCAACCCCCTTTAAAACTAACCGTCGGTCGCTCACATCCGCCATGTTTGTAGTTAAAAGAAAAAAACGTTTTTTTTTCGTGTTTGTAGTTTTGAACCCATAGACATAATATTTATATGTTTATGTTTGAACCGAATCATTCGTCAAAGCGCAATGGATTGTGGGTAATATTAGCCATCAGAGTGTGCACTTCAAAAATCTACCTGAAACAGTAGACCATCCAGGGACTTCTTTTCAACATACTATGCTTTGGGCCACACTTATTTTAATCTCACATACTATTTAGGAAGGATAGTATGAACATTGGGACGCAGGGAAAGTCGTTCCTCATACTTCTTCTTCTTCTTTAGGTTTTAGCGGCAGTTTGCATCCTAGAAGTTGCTTTACTGCCATCTTCTGGAAATATATTACTCCTACACCGATTAAATCATCAGATCCTCGCCGCCAGTCTTGTATTTTTAAGGAAGCAGAACAGATATTTCCTTCCTTGACTTTTCCCGCCACACTCTGACATGTCCTTTAGTCCACGTCCAGTTAGTCCTACACTTTCCATTTCTTTTGTCATAATCTTTCTCTCAGTTTCATATTTCCTACACACAATATTCACATGCTCAGAATCCAGTTGGATGCTTCCCTATAATATGGAGTGTGCTATTTAATTTACTGTGTCCTATTCTTAGTCTGTTCATTGTTGTTTCCTCATATTCCCCCCTTGCTTTCCACAACACCAACTCTTCTTTAAACAAGTTTAGATGTCGTCCGTTTGTTTCTTGATCCCAATGCATCTGCCATTCCTTAATAACTCTTTCCCAATCAATACTCTTTCCTTCTGATCTCGACAGCTTTGTGTTTGTGTCTATAGTTACTCTTTTAATGGCTAGGTTGGCTAATCTGTCAACTGTCTCATTTCCCATCATTCCTTTATGTGCAGGAGTCCACATTAATATACAGCCTCTGCGCCGTTCTGCTTTATTCTCAAGTAAGTAACCATAATTTCAGAGAGCAGCTCTTGATGGTTTCTGGCCATACCTGACTTAGGCAGAAACTGAGTCACTACAAATAAGAGCTTTCAACCCATTCTAAAGCAATTAAAATGGCAGACAACTCAACAGTATACACGCTTAAATAGTTTGAGGTCCGCTTATATATCTCACACCTTTGGCTACTGCAGCTCGTGTCCTGTAATGTTCAACCCTGTCAATTTAAACCCTGTATATATATATATATATATATATGTACAAAACAATATTTCTTGACTTCCTGTGCAATTATTTTCTGTTTTGGTGAACCTCGCCCAGTTTGTGTTTTATAGTTTGTTTTGTTTATAATCGTGTTTATCTGTTTTCTTTTGCATATCCGTGCAGCACTTTGGTTGTACATTTAAAATGTGCTATATAAACATTGTATTGTATGATATAGACATAATTTTTGTACATAAACATACAACTATAAACTTGTGTGTGAATGAGAGCTTAGTTTAGTACTCGCATGCTGTGACAGCCGCTTTCTGTGCGTGTGCTTCGGATGTGTGCTCTCAGAAAACCCGTATATCTGAAGTTTAAACTCATATGGTTTAAAACGCATGATTTTAGCACGATAAACATGATAATCAGAACCAAAACAGATGTTACGAGCAGGTACGAGCTGTAATGGCGCAGCTCTATTCTGGAAAAGGGGGCGGGGAGCAGCAGCTCATTTGCATTTAAAGACACAGGCCCCAAAAACAGCATGTTTCTGCTTCCACTCAAAATAGGCATTTTCAAAATGATATAATAAATGATCTGTGGAGTATTTAGAGCTGAAACTTCACAGACACATTCTGGGGACACCAGAGACTTATATTACATATTGTAAAAAGGGGCTTAATATGTCTCCTTTAAGACTTTTTAAGGACCCGCGGGAACCCTGTTAATAATAATAATAATAATACCAGAAGGCTGCTCGGTTTGACAGTGTCTTGTGTGAGAGCGTTACTCTGCTGACAACAGACAATTGACCTTTTCTGCCTGCAACATTTCACAGATGTCACCTTTAGGGTTAACCTATATATTATGTAGGTCAACAGAAATCCAGCACTTCTCTCAATACAGTCATTAAGCAAACAACTTTACTGAATTTGCTACAAAGACGTGGATAAAGCGACAGAGTCCACCAGAACTGGAGCGCAGCGTCTGCTGAAAAGTGTAGGGCAGACAAAGCCCAGCTTTATTTTATTCTCCAAAAGATTTCATCCAGAAAATAGTCTCTCTACGGCCTCGGGTACATCTCCTTACTCATGACAAGCATACAGACCATTCGCATTTACATCAATACACTATAAAATACTGAGCAGTTTGTTACATCAACAAGACATAAGAAATACTTCAATACATTATGGATCCGATAAAATTAATTGTACAGAATTTACACACTCCTATCTGATTTTCCTGGTCATAACGGAGTAAGACAATCTGTGTTGGATGCTAATCGTGAAAGAAACTAAGAAAAACATTAAATCAAATTAAGTTCCGCTTGATACGGCAGCAATCAAACAAGAAAAAGCAGAGAGGACAAACAGAAATAACAGTTATTAACCCAATAGCCATGGCAGTGCACTGGACAACATCAGCTTCAAAATGCAGTGCGCCCTGGGTTCCAGAAGGTTATTAGCATGTCTTGTACCCACGATGCACCTCTTCCTCAGGCGCATACACACGCTGAAGGTAACATATGCAGACGCCTCGGAAAAGTAGCTCCATCCAGCCCCTCCAGATCAGGTTAAATAAATGTATGTCTCTGTCTGTCCTGCAGTCCTCAGTCGTAGTGTAGCGCCGTGTAGAAGATGATCCAAACCACCTGCAGACAAACACACAGCGCTATCACACACTTCACAGCGTTAGAGAGACGCCTGAATCAGAAACCAAACAAATACATGCTGGCATGTTAGAATGAATGTAATGTATGTTGATTATTATAAAAACAGGATCATTTCCATACTCGGTTACTGTTCACAGAATAACATTTCATTTGATAATTTGCAGGACATGTGCCATGAATATGTCAAAAACAAAATTAAATTAAAAAGGGGGGGGGGGGGTTAAAAAAAAAGTAGGCTTC